GGCCCTCCAGCCAGTTGGCGACCCATTTGACTGTGTGGGTGTCTACGCCACAGCCCCCCAGTTTCTTAATGAGAACGGGTGAGAGACAGTGTCAAAAGCCTTCCGGAAGTCCAGGAAGACGATGTCCACTGCTACCCCTGCGTCTAATGATCTGGTGATCTGATCGTAAAAGGCCACCAGGTTGGTCTGACAGGACCTGCCACTGATGAACCCGTGTTGGTTGCCCCTAAGCATGCAGTCCCCCACTGGCCCCTCCTGGATGTGTGCCAGAATTATTTTCTCGAACAGCTTGCCTAGAATCGAGGTAAGACTAACTGGCCTATAGTTTCCCGGGTCCTCCTTCCTCCCTTTTTTGAAGATGGGAAGCACGTTGGCCCTCTTCCAGTCCTCTGGTACCTCTCCAGAGCACCACGAGTTGAAAGCCAGTTTTGATATACCAGCATAAATATAGAGATACTGTGGGTTTCAGCCAGGTACACCATCTCCAAAGAGATTTCAGAATGAAAAATCCATTGGGTATCACCAGGGTTTGTGCTTTTAACTCACTTAAATGCCTTGAAAAATCCCACCGTTTATTCCTAATGCAAAAAATAGCTTTTAGGCAGAGAATAACAAAGTGGCCAAATATTTTTTTCAGATATGTCTCCATCAGCCTAGTTAAAAAAAATGCCCAATAACATCCAGAGCAAATTCATCCAGTTTTAATTGGAATGTGTTCCTGAAATCATTTCACTTTTATCTCTTTTAATTTGTGTAATTTGCCTATACTGTGCTTATTACCATGGTATCTATGCCCTGAGTATCTGATTATGCGTATTGTATTAATGCCTGGAAGCTCTATCTCAGTTAAGAGCACCATTGTGCTATACTTTGTGCGACAGTGCAGACATGGTGAAGGACACACACACTGCCTAATCCAAGATAGGAGATGGATAAGAGGAAGATTTATCCCCAATTCATAGATGCAGAACTGAGGCACTGGGATCAGTGACTTGCCTAAGGTCACCCAGAGTCTGCTGCAGAAGTAGAAACTGATTGTAAGTTTTTCCTTTTTCCCAGCTCAGTACCTTAACCACAAGATAAAATCTCTGATTCACAGGCTTGTATATTCTTGGACTGGAGGTTGTTTCCAAAGTTCCCACAAACTTCAGTTAGGACCAAGATTTTATCCATCATCTGGATATGTGCCAGGCACCTGCAAGTAGCACAGTACCTGTTAGGATCAGGGGTTTGGCACTGTTCCCTGAGTCAAGAACTTCTGCATAAAAGATATCTTGGCTCTCTCCTGGAACAGCGTATATAAGAACAGCTAACCTTATTTTTACCATTCGTGTCTGTAATAAAAATAAATGTCAGCATTGCAGGTGGTCAGTGTAGCAATCCTTGCTTTTTTTTAAAAAAAAGTTATCCATGGTGTTCCCTGCATCAGAAAACATTAATCATGTAACCCAGCTCATTTTAGTAAAATCACCTCCTCCACACTGTAATTAAATATTTCATTATGAATTTTCACTCCTGGGAAGGACCCCAATGATCCACCAGTGAGTTTTGCTGTCCTGGTTGGATGCACTCAGTTGTAAAAGCCCACAGGTTTCATTTGAAAGCACAGATAGATTTTCTTTTTCCCATGCGTGAATAGTACAAAGATATAGAAAATCCCCAACCTTTAATATCTGGGAGCCCCACAGTTTTCAATTACTGTCAGATCTGCACTGCAGTATCCTCTCAGGACACTATTCCTAATTTAGCCTTCATACTGTCTCACCTGGGAGCCTGCTTTTTGTAACCTGGCAGTGTATCGAGCCATGGGATCATAGCTTCCCCAGGAGTTGAAGGGAAAAGTCAGTCATAAATTGAGCGTTGGGGTAGCCAGGATTGCAGGCGTTTTCTTATTCGGTTTTTTGATTTCATTGCCTAATCACATGAAAAGCAATAACAGATCCAATAGTTATACAGAAACAGGGACCGAACGCTTATCAAGGTTTCCCTTTATGCTTTAGATGCCAGTGTGCATTTAGATTCTGTCATACAACCTTTAATTTAATCTCCAGCAGGCTGGTGTAAATTTGGAAATAACTTGTGGCTTTGTTGGAGTTTCTGCACTTTTACACCAAGGTAAATGTGGTCAGAATCTGATCTGTCATTTTCTAGTACAGAAACCCCCCCCCACTTAGATGAATTTTTAATACATAAAACAGATGAGACTATTCCATGTTCTCAGTACAACGGAATAGATCAGTATGTAAGATTTTTTAAAAAGCAGAACATAGAAATATTCTTTTCCAGGCACATCATCTTTTCCATGTTCCTGTGCTTAATTGCTGTGCAGCATCAAACAGCTGCTGGGCTTTAGGCCACAGGTGGATGCAGCTCAGATATGGGACAGTACTGTGAGATACATAGTCCATTAGGATCCCAAACTTTGTATTTAAGAGGAGCCTGCTCTTCTGCAGACTTTCCATGTAACCTTGAGCAAACCACGTTCTCTCTTCCTGCTTCAGCTTCCTCTTGTGGTATTAAGGTATAAGGAGAGCCCACGGGCTACAATCTGTGTGTTGCGACCCAAAAGTGGGCCACAAGAATATATGAAAGG